AAACACTGCTCGCTTTTAACTACTGTACATGATAATTAATGCTGTCACGAGGAGCTGCGTGGGTGTCTGAATCCAGGATTCTGACGTCCCCATTTCCAGCAGCTTGAGAAGGCAGCAGGAGCAGCACGGGGATCAGATGCGCTCACCTGGCACCCAGCAAGGCGACAGAAAACCAGACGGGGCCCCGCGAGCTGCAAAGCTCTTCTGCATCATTTGTGCTGAGGGGAGCCCACGTCAAAGCCCACCGAACCACCCCCACTCAGCACACAGCTCCCATCCCCGAGCACCACAGATCAGTTTGCTGCAGCCCAAAAAGGAGACGGCAGGGACAACTGTTGCACCTCCCCTCGGGACAGCTGAAAATAAACCGCAGACTCAGACCCTGGGATTTTTCCGGGCACCTTCACCTCGCTCGGGCCGTGCGGCCAGCAGGGGGGTCAGCCAGACCGCTCACGGAGCAGAGCCTGCAGTGTGCGTGGGGCTGCAGCTCCCCAGCACAGCGGGGGTTTCTCCATCCCAGCCCTGTGCAGAAACACCACTTGTTAACAAGCACAGCAGATACCTCCAAGCATTTAAAGCCCCCTGCCCTGTATTTATACGGCCGCCCAACGCAGCATTCCCCTCTCCCAGCCAGCTTAAAAATACTGCTCTAATACACACAGCCAAATACTGCTCTAATACACACAGCCTGGCACGTCTTTCTGACTTATGGTAATAATCATCCTTGTTTGAGAGGCAGCACACCAGCCCCACAGCCTGATATTTTAATATTAGCCAGTTATTATCTCAATATATTACAACACGCTGCTGTTAAGATGTCTCACGAGTCCCATTCCTAAAACACCTAATCTCAATTCAAAGTCTCTGTACCTGTTGGCAACAGAAGCAGCTCCCGGCCCCTAACGCTCACCGTTCAAACATGCAAGAGGTGATAGAAATCACAATGCTAATACCAGGATGCTGCCCAGCTACAGCACAGTGCTGCGCATAAACACCATCCTTAGCATTTCAGTGGGTTTCAGCCACGTTAACATCAGCTGCAAGACATGAGCCCGGGGCAGCAGCCCTTTCCAGGCCTTGCATTCATGGCCCATTCCCCTGTTTTTGCTGAGGCAGCTCTCAACCTTATCAAACAGTGTTGATTCAGACAAGCATGCAGCATTAACGACGTGTCTCCATCTCTAATGCAGGCTCGAGAATCGCATTTGTCAAAGTCAGAAAGCTTCTGGCACCTCCTGCATACAACCAGCTTCCCCCCAGGTCCCTCTGCCAGCTCACTTGTTCACTGCTTGTGGAAGGATCAGAGCTCGACAACCTGATCTCTAGATGGGCAAACAGAGGCTGAAGAAGGAAATGATAAAGATGCACATTTCCCACCAGAAATACCCACCTACTTACTAAAGCACTGCTTCCTCCCAGCACCCAGCAGCTGAGTCCTGCTGCTGATGGCTTCGGTTTGCAGAAGCCTTACAGAGCAACGGCCCCGAAACAAAATAAAGGCTTTCCCTGAGCTCTGCAGAGAGCAGCAGCTCCGACTCATTTCGCTTCAAGGTTAGTTTGTTTAGTCTGGAGTTAATTGTGCCCACTGAGGAGACTGTTTTGAAACAGAGACACAAAGGACAGACAGCTGAATGAACCCATGGGGACAAAGCATGAAGCCAGAAGTGGGACTGAGTAAAGCAGGAGAGTAAATGCATTAGGTTGGTGAAGCTGCACTTTGGATTGGAACCAGGTTTGCCCACCACGTTTGTGCTGTATGTCAGCATCGGAGCTTCCTCACGTCAGGCAGAGGACATTGTTGTACCCTATTTACGAGGGAAGGCTGAAGTAAAGCACTGCAGTTACCCTATTGATAAACCCAACTGCTGACAGCATCAGATTTCAGATTGATGAGCAATATTAAGTACAGCACAGGCTGCAACTTCTGCTTTCATTAACAGAAGCACGTATTTGGAAAGAAACTCTGCAGAGCGCAGTGGAAAAGGTCTGGCTGTCCCCAGATAACCTTCTCTTCTAAGGATTAATGTATTTTTAGACAATGCAGCCACCCAGTTCTAAAAAACACAGCCTGATGTACGGCACCACTGCCCTCCGTTAAGAGACCTGAAGCCGAATTACCTGAAAGAACAGCAGTGGTGCCCCAAACACAGCCCTGTAACACCAGGAAGGTCTTTGCCAGCCTCGCTCGTTCTGTGATGGAGAGTCCTCGCTCAATGCACAGTGCTACAACTGCTCTCTCCAAGGCACGAGCTGGCTTTTGCCTTTTGGTGACCAACTCCTCCCAGGACCTGCTGTGCAGGATCTGCGTGAGCAGCCACTGCCCTTCTGGCAGCAATGCTGGCTCCATCCTTGTTATCCTGCAAAGAACCCCACTCTGCTTCAGCCTCCCTGCAGCTCCTACAGAGCAACAAGCAAACCTCTGCTCCACGGACCGTCCCGGCTGGACAGCCAGCAGCCCACAGCCCACCTCTGGACTTTTTGGTCAGCAACCGCGTCACCTTTCGCTTCCCCAGGCCTACACACCCTGTGTCTGAAAGCAAATAAAAGGCCAAATTTGCTTAACAGCAATCAACAACTGGCCGCCTTCCGCTGACGTGGGCACTGCTTTGGTGAGCTCTGCAAAGCAACCAGACGCGCTCTCAGTTTTACAGCCCTGACTCAGGAACAGGACTCTGTTAATTTGGGACTGCCACCGAGGCTCCAGAATCATTTGGCTGAGGCGGAATCGCTGTGCAAAGTACCCAGCTTCTAACAGAGCAGCTTCTGAACGGCTGTGCGTTGTCCTGCAAAGCCATCAGAAGAGCCAGACTACTTCAATGGGACTGCAAATGACAGTCCTGGGAGCAGATTCATCAGCAGCTCAGTTCTCCTTGGAAAACACAAGAGGAAAACAACCGGTACATCATCAAAGGGCAGACGAAGGATAAACAATCTTTTATGTTGTCATCCTCTCTGAAAGAGCCCTTAAAGACAGAACAGCACTGCCTACAAGGTTGGGAGATGACTTCCCATCTGTAAGATCGGCCTCCTGTTTAACAGAAGCAGATGCTGAGTCTGACAAATTAAGACAATTGACTTCATTACGCCTTCCATTACCTACACAGACATGCACTGGCACAGAGCAAGCCTCACTAAGTTCTTTAAACAAAGAAAAAAAAAAAGATTACCCACCCTTTTTGCAAAGCAAACTCTTTCTGGTAGCTGCACCTCTCTGCGTGGCTGCTTGGTTTTACCAGTATTAAACCCAAGTCAATGCTCACCATCATCTGCTCCACTCTGCATAATGCTCAGAGGAGATGTTAAGAAAATCCTCCCATGCAGTCCACTAGTCAAATCACCTCAGCTAACGCTTTCCCATAATAGCAGAATTCCCCATAACATGGGACCACAGGTATTTCAGACCTGATCGGAGATAACAAAGTGACAGCAAACATTTTCATCCAACACAAGCTTACAGCATTGAGATACATGCAGAACCTGTCACCAAACACATCCCGTCCCTTTTGGGTGCACAAAACCTCTCTTCAGCCACACATTGCTTCAGTACTGCCACAACACACACACGAGAAAACTTCAGTGAGACAAGGGAACAAAGTTGATATGAGATAGAGAAAACCAACTTCCTTCCTGAGAGGTTTCAGAGGTAAGAGCCCATCTCTGGGGGTGAGCATCTGCTCAACATCTCATTCACCTGAAGGCTCTGCAGAGCACCAGGGCCCAGGTGCTGCCATCACCTGATGGCTGCTAAGACAAAATTCTTCCCATGTACAGAGCTGTATTTGTGGTCTGCCTGGTGATTACTGCTTGCCACATACTCAAGAAACGTGACCTTGCAGCAATAATTGCCCATTGATCAAAGTCTGACGGATCCAATGCACTCCATGATGCGCTCCTGGCCGGGCGTCCCGTGCTGCACAGCAGGGATGTGCTGACATTTCTGGGCAGATCCACCACAGCTCCAGCAGCAAAACCCCCCCAGGGGCTCCCAGCTCCACTGCACTACCCCACCTTAGCTTCAGTCTTCTCCCTGTTCCAATCACCTCCCATTACTGACTCTGACATCTGTATGTTTGCTTAATTACACGACAACAAACTACTGTAGAGCAGACTGTGAGCTCTGTGCCATTTGCTTATTTTTGGAGCTCAAGAAGAATATGAAGACCTCTGCCCAGCATAGTGACAGCCACAAGCAGGTGAGCTTGTGAATGGAGCTTTTCAACGTCCCAGTGCTTCAGTTTGATGCCAAACAAGCAAAAAAGAGAGCAGTAACTGGGTTGGGTGGCTATTTGTGCTATTAAAGCACTGGTGCCTACAACGATGTTATTACAGGTGTTTTTTCCAGGCTGTGCTCTGCTCTCCCCATCCCATGGCTACACTCAGCCCACGACACCCCCAGCTCACCAAACCCTCCTCCTGCCCGGCGTGCCGGCAGCTCGATCCCGCTGTCAGACGCGGTGCTGTGGGATGGGATTCCAACGGGCTGCCCCCATTTGTGGAGGCGTTCGAGGCCGGGTGGGCGCAGCGCAGCCACAGCAGGGTTGGAAACGAACAGCAAAGCCGTTCTACGGCCGCAATTTCACCAACCCTGCTATTGGTTCCGAACCGGCCGCGGTTTCCCGGCACCGAGGGGCAGCTCTCAGTACCGCGCAGCTCCGTGCGAGCAAAACCCAGCGCAGGTTTGCCTGCAGGCTTCGCCGTTCTGCAGCCGCGGGGTCCCGAGCAAAATCCGCGCGTCCCAACGGGAGCCGGGCGGCTCGGTGCGGCACCGCCCGCCCTCAGCACAGCCCTGCACGGGGCCGTTCGCGGCTCGCAGGGCAGCGCTGTGACACCGCCGCGGCTCCCGCACATCCCGGCTCCGCTCTCATCACGGCGCTCCGTCCCGCCCCGCACCGCCGCTCCGCGCGGTTCCGACACCGCTCTGTTTACAAACAGCCCGCGGGGAGCCGCGCGTCCCGTCCGACCCGACCCGATCCCAGCGACCCGTCCGGTCCCGCACGCACCTGGTGCAGCGCCGTCAGCCCATCCACGTTGGTGGTGTCGATGCGGGCGCCGCGGCCCAGCAGCCGCTTCACCTCCTCGGTGTCCCCGCTGGAGCAGGCGGCCAGGAACACGGCGCCCTCCTCGAACCGGACGCGGGATCCCCCGGCCCCTCGGTGCCGCCCTCGGCCGCCCCCCGCCGCCACCGGCTCCTGCTCGGTCAGGGAGCCCTTCCAGCGCCGCAGCTGCTCGGCCCGCCGCAGCCGCGCCGACTCGGCCCGCTTCCCGCCCAGGTGCTCCGGCTCCGACATCGCCGCCGCCGCACTGAGGCGCAGGGAGCGGCGCGGAGCCTCAGCCCGGAGCGGGGCGCGGCGCCCCCGCCGCCATCTTCGCCGCTACGCCGCCGCCGCCGCCGCGCCCCGAGCGCCCGCGCCCCGCGGCATCCCGGGACTTGTAGTTCCCGCGGGGGGCGCCGCACCTGCCCCGCGCCGCCGCGCGGCTCCCGGCGGCCCCCGCGCGCGGCCGCACCTGGGCGCGCGCCGGACTACGACTCCCGGCATCCCCCGCGCGCCGCGCCCGTCCCCGCCCCCCGCCCGCCTTCCCGCCCGGCGGGGCCGGACGCCATCGCCGCGCCCCGCCGGCAGCGCCGCCCGCGGGGTCCGCGGCTCTGAAGGCCGAGGGGAGGGCGGGGATGAGGAGGAACGGCGGCTCCGCGCCTTCCCCATCTCCGCGCTGAGCGAGCGGCACCTGCCAGGCCCCGCCCGTGCCAGGCGGTGCGGTGTGCCCGGAGATGCAGTGCCCGGTTTTCTCCATCGTTAAACGCACAGACCGCACCGAGGGGACAGCGAGGCTCTGCCCGCCCCGTGCGGCGCCGTGCCGTGCAGCGCAAAGCAATGCAGCGCAAAACAATGCAGCGCAAAGCAATGCAGCGCAAAGCAATGCAGCGCAAAGCAATGCAGCGCAAAGCAATGCAGCGCAAAGCAATGCAGCGCAAAGCAATGCAGCGCAGCGCGTCCAGTCCCAGCTGCGGTTCGGCTTTGGCGGCGCTGTGCCGTCCTCGGGCGCCCCCTGGTGGCGCGGCGCAGCACGGCGCTTTCCCGGTGCCGTTCCGTCGCGTCCTGAAGGCGGATCCCAGCGGATCTTTCAGGCTGGAAAGGGACGCTGAGATCCGCAGTCGCGGTGATGAGCTGAAGCCACGCTGGACCAGGCCTGGAGCTGCACTGCTGTGCACCGATGGTGCAGCTCATGGACTTAATGCCCCCGTGAGCTGTGCAGTGAAGCCGTGGAGCTGCGGGCTGCCCTGCGCTCCTGGGAGCAGCACACAGTGCTCCTATGGAAACCGCCCGGAAAAAGCCATTGGATGTCGATGTGTTCAAGACTTTGGTTTTCCTCTCAGGAATTTTGGCCAAGTATCTTTGCAGAGATTTCTACATCCAGGATTCCTGGCTGTCTGAATGAGCTTCAGAGTGCTAACAAGACCGAGAGGCACCGCCCATGAGAACTGGCAGTAATCCATGCAAACAGTGCTCCCCAAACTTCTGGCATGTGTGCCGTTACTTCTGGGACGCCGCTTTGCCCATGCACAGATTCTCACATCTCCCCAAGCTGTGGGATCTGCTCCGGCTGCCTCTAAATCAGCGCAGCACCTTCCTGGCAACGTCCACTATGATGGGCACTGTGTGCAAACCCTGCAGCAACCACAGCTGGGTGTGCAGGTTGGACTCCATAGTGGAATTTATCCTCAGCAGAATGAACAACTCTGCAAGAAGGGGCTGCTGTCTGTGCCTGTGACACTGCTGCCATCTTCCCATCTTTCTGACACCCCGGGGTCCCTCACACTGCTGACCACATTCCTGTCTGTTTTCCTATGATGCTCTTTCGAATTTAGCCCAGCTCTGGTCTTTGAGCACGAAGCTTTTGAACAAAACGTTCTTATTGCAGGTCTGCTCCCAAGATGATCACTTTGAGCACACACCATTCATTCATCCCCCACATCCAGAACAAAATCCGCATCGTGTGCCTCCAGCTGCCGCTATCTTGAAGTACTGTTTTCGTTCCCTTCAGTTTCTCCTGAACCTTGACTGCTCCACGATAAATAAGTGCTTTATTTATGAAACAAACAAAGCTTTCTGGCACAGCCCGGATTTGTGCCTCTCACCTTTCACAGCAGCCTTCCCCGCCCCGCGGTGCGAAGCATCGCAGCGCCGACCCGACAGCAGATGGCGCGGGGACCCACGGCACCTGCCGAGCTGCGGGGACGGCTTCGCCTCCATCCGCTGCCTCTAAAGGGCTCCCTCAATGGAAGGGACCGGCCAGCCAAAGCCCTCCCCCTCGAGGACAGCAAGGCAGAGAACCTTAGGATCGTTAAGGTTGGGAAAGACCTTCGAGTTCCCCGAGCCCAACCGCAGCCCGCCCCCCGCACCGCCCACATCCCTCAGCGCCACTTCCGCGGCTCCGAACGCCCCCAGGGATGCTGACCCCTGCGCACTCCTCCAGCCCTGCAGCGAACAGCCCTGGAGCAAAGAGCAGAGCTGAGATTTGCAGCAGCAGAGCCCAAATTTCAGGATGCTGGGCCCTTTTCTGAAGATGTCACTCAGCTTTTCATTCATCCGTTCCGTCTTTGGAGGAAGGAAGTGGGGAGACGTGAGCCTCCAGAACCCGACAGCCCTGCTGCACATCTCTGGGAACTCAGCAGGAGGGGGTGGCTCTGTCCAGGTCTGCAGCCATCTGCAGCACCAGAGTGCTGAGCATTGCACACTTCCTATGAGTCATCTCATTTCCCTGCCCCGCGGGGCAGGACGCACGTCCCCATGGCTGCATCAGAGCTGGGGTAAGGCTTCAGCCCTCAGCAGGAACTCAGAGAGCCTGCAGGGAGATCCGTGGCCATCAGGAGCACCTGATGGTGACGTGGAGGTGCTCGTGTCAACCTGCGTGGTGGCAGCTGGGGATGCTCTGCTCAGTGACGTGGAACCCATCGCTCTGCAACCACCGCAGGGAGCTGCAGTGAGAAGGGATCAGCCTTTTTTCTCAAGGGACGGGACGTGTAGGTTGCTCTATAAGTAGTGCCTCCTATTTGTTTCCAGGGAAACCACAATAGATACAAAGAACACAAGAACACGATTTGATAGAGCAAATTCTCAGCTCCTCAAATTCAAAGCTCCACAATCTTTCCTGAGCTGAGGGCCTCAGATCTGGACTCGGCTCTGCAAACGGGGCCTCACAAGGGCAGAGCAGAGGGGGGCAATCCGCTCCTGCTCACTACCACCCCTCTTTTGATGCAGCCCAGGCTGCAGTTGGCTGCAAGATCGCAGTGCTGGCTCACCTGCAGCCTTTCGTCCATCAGGACCCCCGGTCCTTCTCTGCAGGGCTGCTCTCAAGGAGTTCTCCCGGTCTGTACACATATGTGGGATTGCCCTGGCTCAGCTGTAACACCCTGCACTTGGTCCTGCTGAACCCCATAAGATTCACGGACCCCCATTTTGAGTGCATTCCGGTCCCTTTGGATGGGAAGTTGAGATTGAATGTTAGGGAGCATTTATTTGCAGAGAGGATGGCCGAGCGTCGGCCCGGGCTGACTGAGGGATGGGGAGGAGCTCCCCGCGTCGGAGCTGTGCGGATGTGGCACCGAGGGATGCGGTGCAGCGGTGGGACGCGGTAGTGCTGGGTGATGGTTGGGCAGCGCGGGGTGCCGCGTGCTGCGTGTGGGAGCAGAGGGGACAACGGGTGGCAGCAAGGTGGCAGAGGGCGCTGGGGGTGACGCTGGGAGCGCTGGGGTGGCATCGTGCCGTGATGGGCGCCGCGAGGCTGACGGCCTCCGTGCCTTCCTCCTCCTCCTCCTCCTCCTCCTTCTCCTCCTCCTCCGCCCGGGGCAGTGACATCAGGCCGTGCTGGCGCTGAGCGCGAAGCGCCGCCTCCCCCCGCCGCCAACAAAAGTCCCCGAGCGCCCTGCGGGCCCCAACGCCGCACCCGCCGCCTCCCGACCCGCCCGGCCCGGCCCGGCCCACAGCCGCAGGTACGAACCGGGGCCGCCGGACCCCAACATCCCACCCCGCCCGCGGATGGGGAGCTCCGTGCACGGCGCGCCCGGAGGGCTGCGGCCCCGCGGGTGGGCGAGGGTCGATGCTGCTCGGTGGGCGGAAGGGCACGGGGAGCACCGGGGGACTTGGGGGGGTAAGCAGAGGAGGAGGGAGAAGATTGGCCCCGGGGACAGAATCGCAGAACTTCCCCATCCGGGCCGGGTGCTGGCGGTGATGCTCATCGGGAAGTCCCAACTGCCGCGCCGCGCTCCCTCTCCCCGTGCCCTGCGTCGCTTTGCCTTTCAGAGCGGATAACTTTTGGGAGCCGGGGGGATCGGGAGAGCGGCCCCCATCACTGAGCAGCGGGCGCGGCTCCGGGCTCCCCAAACCCCGCAAGTGGCAGCGGGGCCGCGCGTGGCAGCGGGCATTGGTCAGCGCTGAGCACCACGCGCGGATGCTGCCAGGAGGCAGCGATCGCTGGGGAAGCTCCGGAGCAACCGCTTGAATTCCTCTCGAGGACGCAGCGCTGTGCTGGGATGCAGGGAGGGCTGTGCCGGGCCGGGAGGTGCAGCAGCTGCCAGCTGTGGGGTTGGCTGTGGGGTTGGATCCTGGGGTTGTTGCTGCTCCTCCTTGCTGTGGCTGCGGCTCAGCGCTTGCTTGCCATCCACAGAGTGCATCGCCAAAGCAGGGGCAGCGCGGTCCCCTCCCCGCCGTGATTCCATCCCTCTTCCCCCACCTGCATCTCCATCTCCATCAGGCAGAAAGCCTTGCAAAGCTGCAGGGAGCTGTGTCGGGCAGGAGGTTTGATCCCCACGGAAGCCAGGAGTTTTTCTTAGCGTTCATGAAAGTGCTTTGCAGAGTTCTGCATAAAATCGGGCTTTTCTTTGAGAAATGAGCTGAATGCCCAGCTGTGATAGGAAGCTTTCCAGTTTGTAAGCTCAGCCTGGGAGCCATGTGGCCGTCAGGCAGCAGCAGGCAGCTCTGCACTCTTGATACCCACGCGTGGCAGCAGGGTGGCACAGCACTGCTCCTCCCTGCCACAGACCTCAGATGGGCAGCAGTGGGACCCCAACGTCCCACTGCAGGACCTGGGGGCACAGTGTGTGTGTGAGGGTCGCTCCTGACTTCGGATCCCCCCCTGATTCCCTCCTCTTCAGGCAAAGCCCCTGGAGTTCTCAGCTCCAGCACAGCTGCTGCTCTGTTCCTTGGTGTCTGCACTGATGCTCAGTGTTTTGTTGCATTCCAGCACTCACTGCTCTCAGGACTCCATTCTCTCACCAGATCAGCATCACTGTAATCATCCTTTATCCCCAGTTACACCACTGGCATCCCAGAGTCTCCTTATGTCACTGCTGTGACATGGGGGTACAGGAGCACAGTGCCAGCCCCCCTCTTGTAGGGCTGTTCCCATGCATGGTGCTGTGGCAGCTGCTCCATACACGATGCCATTTGTTTGGGGCTGAGTCCCCATGGCCTGAATGCAGTTCCCAGTGCTCCATCCTGCCCACTTCCCACCCATCTCCATGAGCTGATTCCTTCTGCTCTCTTCAGGCGTCTCCTTCTCTCCCTGCTCACATCATGGCTGTGCCAGCTGCTCTCTGAAGTGGAAGGCAGCTATCTCACCCCAGGAACTGTGATTCCCACCTATTGCTTGTCCTTTTGCCAGACCATGTAATGATCCTGCATCAAGAGTGAAGTGCTTTCCTGCCTTTCCTTGTATTCATACTTTCACTGCAAAAAATCTCCCAGCTTTTTACACAGCCTGAATCTCCTGTTCCCTAGCAATCTTCTCTGAGCACAAAATGAGCTGTGAGACCTGAAACCAGGGCTGTTGGACCCCAAATCCAGGGCTATGGGACCCTGAAATCGGGCCTGTGGGATGCAGCAGTGGGGCCTGACAGCTGTCCTGCTTCAGGAGGAATGGGGCACTTTGAGAGGCAGTGTAGGAGGCAGCCCTGTGTTATCCCTGGTGAGGGGGCTGATGTGGGTGCAGTGGTTCCTCTGTCTGCCCCCTAAGGAAGCTCCTGAACCCTGCCGAGCTCTGCCAGGAGGAAATAACAAAACAACACACTCTCCAGAGAAACACTTTGTGTCCTTTTAAGGCAATGCAAGGGCTGGGACTGGAGTGAGCTGGCTGGAAGGGAGGGATTTGGCACCGCTGTGCCCTGGGTAGGAAGCCCAGCCTGCAGGGCGTTGAGGAAAGGCTTCCTGGCTGCTGTGATCACACCCAAACAGCTCCGACACCCCTGGGGCTGCACTGCCTCCTCCTCCAGCCCCACACCTGCACTGTCTGTCTGTCCTGCACACAGCTGGCTGTGGGGCTGAGCCTGCAGCACCCGCAGACCCTCCTAGCACCCAGCACCTCCAGCAAGCGTTTGCTTCTGATGTCTTTGTGACCACCTGAGGTTGCCTATGGTCCTTCTACTGGCCTCCTTACCCTCAGCTTCTCCCCTTTGTTGGCTTTGAGTTTCTTGAGGCTTCCGCTGCCCCAGCCTTCAAAATACCAAGGCTGGGTTGGAGCTCAGCCATGTGTGTTTGCTGTTTGTCTTACTGTGGGATTATCTGCACATTTGAAGATCAGGCGGCCTCTCATCACTCACCAGAGGCATTTCAGGAAAGAGGAGAGCAAAGGAGAAGCATTAACATGCTGCCAGGGAGCTGCATGGTCGGTTAGGTCAGTGCTCAGGTGTTGGCCCTGTGTCCCAGCCTTCGTACTCCTCTTCCTCCTTTCTCTTGCTCAGAACAGAGCCGTGAGCTCCCAGGACCTGGGATGCTGATCCCGCTGGATGCTCTAAGTGGGCACTCTGAGTTCTGCTGATTCTGCTCCTCAGCAGCATTATGAATCAGTGCAAACATTTTCTGCCCCTTCTCTCCCCACAGGATGCCAAACTGGGGTGGAGGGAAGAAATGTGGCGTGTGCCAGAAGGCGGTGTACTTCGCTGAGGAGGTGCAGTGTGAAGGCAGCAGCTTCCACAAGTCCTGCTTCTTGTGCAGTGAGTACTGCCCTCCCCTCGCCCCACTCCCTGACAGTAGTTTGTGTCCTGTTTGTATATATAAACGTTTATGAGGCATGTCAATGCTCAGTGGGTTTCCTCTACAAGCAGCCGGGGTGCAGGAGCTGTGTGGAGGTGTTCTGCTGTCCTCCAGGCTGAAGAAGCACGGATCAGCCCAGAGCTGATCCGTGTCAGGGCTGAGCTTAGCCAGCATCCATACTGCATCCCTGCACCAGGGAATATTGAGGTCCTGTCCCTGGAGGTGCCTCAGATGCTGAAGGCTGGAGCATGAGCTGGGCGCTCCCACCAGGCAGGAGGTGGCACATTGCACAGTGCTGGCCCTGGTCCTCCGCACTGCTTTGCTGGGAGCTGGGATATGATCTGCTCTGTGTCTGGTGGGAGATGGCCTCCAGGAGCCAAAACATCAGGCAGGAGACATTGCTTGGGGAAGGGAAGGAGCTCAGCGCCGTGGGGAAGGGAGAAGGTTGTCCCACATCTGCTGGTGGAAGCACATCACCAGGGAGAGCACCACGACATGGGCTGCCACCCTCACGCTTTGCAGAGGGACCTCATGCTGCTCCTCGTGTGCCTGGCAGCTCTGCCTGTCCCACTGGGCTCCTCCCCAGCCCTGCTTCCCAGCCCCGTGCTGCTGAGCTGCTCTGAGCTCCTCAGCTTCCCCAGCACAGCTCTTGGGCCCCTTCGGGAATGTGAAGCCACTATCTTTAGGAGAGAAAAACAAACACTGGGAGCTGATTTGCCAAGGAAATAATCAGAAAGGAGCCAAACCTACCACAGTGCATTAAACTGGAGATCAGCTCCGGGAGTGAGTGCTGATTGACTGCGTGGCGTTGGTCCAGCTAAGGCAATAGCACAAGCAGAAGTGTGATGCAAGGAGGCTGCCTGGCCTCAGAGCAGCAGCAGCAGCTCTTGTCTGGCTCTTCTATGGGGCAGCTCAGCTGTTCTTAGAAAAACAAAGGGTTCTTCATGCGATGAGTGCGGTGTGCTGGAATTTCTGCGATGCAGAAACCGGGGGCTGATTTCTAGGAAGCAGATTGGGAAGGAATTTTTTTGTTGCATGACAGTGGTTGGGGCAGACGAGGAGCAGTGGATGCGGGGACTGAAGGCTGCAGCCACCCAGCGTGGGGGGAGAGGAAAGCAGATGCCATCGGCGTCACCACCGTTAGGACAATGCCCTTTGAACCTGCTGGTGTCGGCCCCCACATCCATCCCTGTGGGTTCTGAATGCAGAACTGTCCCTACTCAGTTCTGGGCTGCTGTGTCCCACCGCCAGCCCATCCGTCGGACACCCACTCTGAGCCATGGGATGCACAGTTCCACGTCAGCCTGGATCCCAACCCCTATCGAGGGGACGGGGAGCACACAGTGAGCACAGGACCCTGCCAGCCCTCCTTAGATGGCCACAGGCTTCCTTCCCACCTCCTCCCTCCAGCAGTGCGTGGGGTTGCCTGCGGCCACGCGGGAGGAGCACCATATTTAGTAATAGGGCCGAGGAACGCTGCCTCCCCCCCAGATTGAGTGCACTGAGGGAGCTGTGTTTGCATTCCTGTGATATTGGTAAAGGGCAAGGAACTTTCCTGCTGGCAAGGAGCGAAACGGGCTGCTGGGAGCGTCGACATTTAAGGCGTGTGAGCAGGATGGGGATGGCTGGGGTGCAGCTGTAACAGGACCTGTTTTGGCGCTGGCTGCCAGCGCTGTGGACTCTGCCTTGGGCGTCATGCTCTGAACGGGGCAGGTAAACACTGGAGATTGCTGTGAGCCTCGTTTGTTTGCTGCTTCCCTCCCATCACGGTGTGCCAGGAAGGGCTGGGAGCTGACGTGGAGGATGAGATCAGAATGGGACACGAGCACAGCGCCGGGGTCCCCAGGCCCTGCTGCTGTACCCTTGTGTCCCATCTTATGTCCCACGCTGACCCCATGGCCGGGACACCCACCTGGCTGGCAGTGCTGAGTGTGCCCTGCACAACCCCTCTCCTGGCACAGACCTGGGGTGGCACATTGGCATGAGTATCTGTGTGATTTGTGGGGAAATTTAGGATTTGTGCCCCGTCCTGGCTCCAAACCTCCCCCACCCAGGGTTCCGGCAGCAGTGAGGTTAACAGAGCTGCTGCCTTATTTATTATCAGCCTTGTAGCCTTGGTGGTTGCTTCCTTTTAAAGCCAGACAATGTTCTTGTTGTGATCCTTATCTGCAGCCGTTTTGCATGCACTCCCTTTGAACACTGATCTTGTCTGGGGTTTCCTCGCTCCTTGAAAGCCGAGCTGTGCTGTCCCGTGTGAGGACTTGTTCTCTGCTGCTAACGAGCAGATCTGGATGCACGGGCTGACAGGGCCCTCCCTCTCTTCCAGTGGTCTGTAAGAAGAACTTGGACAGCACCACTGTTGCTGTGCATGGAGATGAGATCTACTGCAAGTCCTGCTATGGCAAGAAGTACGGCCCCAAGGGCTATGGATACGGGATGGGCGCCGGCACCCTGAGCACCGACAAGGGCGAGTCTCTGGGAATCAAATACGAAGAGTGAGTTGAAGTCTTGTTTTGAAATCGGGGATGTTGTGTCCACCTTCTCCCTCACATCTGTCCAGATGTGCTCGGCTGTACCGCCCTGCAGAGCCCTCTGAGTGTCCAGCAGTCCCCAAGCTGCAGAGTGTCATGGATTCCCTGCTTCAGGGGGGACTTCCCATGTGCTGGGCATGCCACGTGGCTGGCAATAGGCCCACATCTGCTCTGATGTTCTCAGTGACATGAGGGCTCCACAGGCACGTCCCCATCACCCAGCCCTGCTGCTCATCCCATCCCAGCACACAGCCGTGGGGCTGCAGTTTCCACGGGGGTCAACGCCACCCTGACAGCCCCTCCGAAACCGGGCTGGGATTTGCATTCCCACAGCTCTGCCCTCCTGCACCCCGTTAATGTGCTCCCTCCCATCCACAGGGGCCAATCCCACCGACCCACCAACCCGAACGCATCCAGAATGGCCCAGAAGGTCGGCGGCTCCGATGGCTGCCCGCGCTGCGGCCAAGCGGTGTACGCAGCCGAGAAGGTGATTGGAGCTGGAAAGGTACGGATGGAGCTCACGCACACACACACACCCTGCAACCCTGGCACCTAAAGGGGAGCTTTACCAGGACCCTCCGCATCCCCTCCTGTGTCCCCATCCCTGCTCAGCTCTGAACCCAGGAGTGCTCCAGGCTCACCTCTGTGCTGTGGGGTCAGGACGGCGGAAGGCCTCAGCTATGGGGCTGTGCTGTGGCACTGGTGCTGCCCCACACATCGACCCCTGCACTTCATCCTCCCCGCAGTCGGTGCTCGTCCCCAGAGCACAGAAGCATGGAGTCACAGGAGCCTCCAGCAGCGTACTGAGGCTCCAGCAGGGTCTGTGAGGGATGTGCCACGTTTTGGTTATCCTCAAAATCCCAGCGCTGGCTCTTGGCCTCCCGGTGTTGTCGATGTTTACAGGGACCCAAATCTGGCAAAGCAATTGTGCTCGAGAAAACCAGAGAGGATTCCAGAGCATGTATCCAATGTACTAATGTTCGCTGGATGACTCTCAGCTACCTCCTCCCCCAGCCCTTATTTCACATTTTCTTCCAAAAAAGGTTTGATGTTTTCCAAAGCGTTTATTTAAATTCCTCTGTGAGGGCTCTGGCTGCTCTGTGTGCTGCTCGGGGCCCGTGAGCTCATCTGTCCCCGGAGGGACTGGCAGGGCTGGGGGAGCTTTATTTTTGAACGCTGGCTGATTCCTGCATTCTTAGTGTCGATTTGCTGCCCTAAAGCTGCAGTTGTCTCCCCCCAGTGCCAACCCCGGGCTCAGGTGCAGCAGATCCTGGTGAATAACTGAGGGGATTTATTGTTGTGTTTTAAGAGAAGGACGATTGCTTTTCACCCACTGCACTGTGAAGTGACTGTTGAGGGATGGGGGTGGTGAAGGCTCAGTTTAGGAGCCAATGTTTCCCCTCTGTGTCTTCACCACGGGGCAGGAGGGCTTTGCTGTGCTGAGGGTGGGGAGGAGGGCTCTTGCCAGACTTTCCATCAGCAAACCCCTTTGCTGATGGCTTTGGGTCAGAACCAGGGTCGGAATCCCTCCAAAGGGATCCCGCCTGGTACCAAAGCTTTGCTGTCTCGTCTCCATTACCATCTGACTGGGTTCCTCTCCTGTCTCACAGTCCTGGCACAAGTCCTGCTTCCGCTGCGCCAAGTGTGGCAAAAGCCTGGAGTCCACCACCCTGGCAGACAAAGACGGGGAGATCTACTGCAAAGGTCTGTGCCACGTCCCCTGCCCTGTGGGGCTGTTGCAGGAGGGTCCCTGGGCTCAGGTCCCCTCCGGTTGTCCTGGCTGCTGCGCCTGGAGGTGTGAGAATGGGGATGGGGCAGGGATCCGGGAGATGGTGACCTTGCAACTCTGGGGAGCGTTGCAGACATGGCAAACCCTGCCCTGCTTTAGGAGAACTGCTACGGTGCCCTCGTGCCACTGCCCTAATGTTACTCCTCCTCTCTCTGCAGGTTGCTACGCCAAGAACTTCGGGCCCAAAGGCTTTGGCTTCGGGCAGGGGGCCGGGGCGCTCATCCACTCGCAGTGAGGCACCAGGAGCCGCGCTCTGCTCCTCCTGGGCTCCTGCAGCCCAGCCCTGGGTTTCCGCACACCGCAGCGAGCTCCCTCACCTCCTCCATCCCCGCCTGCTGCTTTGCGGCACCAGCGCCTCCCCCTGCCCCGACCCTGCGCTCCCCGAAGCTGCGGGAGCCCCATTGCCACCACGGGTCCCTCGGCACGGGCACACAGCTCGCTCCCACCCGCAGTGAGGCTCCCAGCGTTCCGCTCCGCGTCGCCCGTCCCGCCGGGATGAGCCGCGCTGCGCCGTGTCACCGAGCAAGGAATAAAACATCAAAGCTGACCCAAGGCGTTGCCCGAGGGGTTGCGGGGTTGTTCCCCAGGAGCTCGGGATGGAGCGGCAGGACGGGAAGCGGTGCTGCTGCAGCTTGCAATGAAAGCGGAGGGGCTCTCCCTGCAGCTCAGCAGCCCCTTCCGCCCTCCCCTCGTGTGACCATTTCCTACGCGGTGTTTCCTTCCATGCGCACACCGCGTCCAAACCCGTCGGCGCTGCTCCGTGGCGCTGCTCCAGGCAGCCGTGCCCAGCAGTGCTAACAGCTCGGAGCTTTTCACCTACTCCCGGGTTGGGTGTTGTTTTTTTTTTTTGCTGGATTCTGATCCTCCAGCTTGGCAGCTCTCCAGGTTTAATTTGTTTTCACTGAAACACTTTGCTTTCGCTGTGTGCTTCTCTCCTTTGACCGGTGTGAGATACTCACGGATCAGCCTCGCCGCCTGTCCTTTTCCAATCCGCAGTGGGACGGCTGCAACTGCTTCCCTCTGCTGGCTGCTGCTCCCCGGGCACGGCTCCGGACAGACGGACGGTTGTGTCTGCACATCTGTACCCGTGCACTGCCCAACGCGCTGCATCCGCAGCACCCAGCCCTGATGGCAGCCTGGGGGCTGCAGCGCTGGGGATTGGGGATGGGGATGGGGTACCCAACACCGTCCAGAGAGATGCCCTGGGACGGTGGTGACAGAGCTGCAGCATCGAGCTCTGTTGGCTCAGCAGAATGAGACCCTTCTCTGGGTCTGGTCACCAGAGGACAGAGGGGAGGTGACAGGCTCTGTGACCTCATGGCTGTGGGAAACTGATCTTCCCGTGGTGGCTGGAGGTGGCGATGCAGTGAGCAGCCCCAGCTGGCGAGGGAAGAGGCCGTGGGGTTGGTGGCCAGCAGCATCACTGACATCCCCACCTGCTGGAGCAGAGCTGGGAGGGACAGCCCAGACTGCTGGCTTCCAAATTCCTGGGGTCCACCAACCCTGAGCGTGCGCTCCTTGCAGGGACCCACCTGCTCCACTCCCCCCAGAGCCCCGCGGGGCCGGAGCTGAGCCCCCTCCGTGCCCAACATCCCAAACTGGGGCTGCTGGGACAGCGGGGAACGGTGCCAGCATGGTGATGTTGGCCTCGGGGAGCACGAACCAGTTCCTGACTGCACAGCGGGCCCTGCCCTGTTAATGAGGGATAATGAGGTGCCTCTCCTGGCGCTGCAGACTTGCCCCCTGGCCATGCTGGCTGCCAGCGCTGCCCCCAGCAGGCATCAGCCCCAGACGGTGACCCCGGTGCAGCTCCGTGGGGATTTTTTGTCCCCTTTTTTCGATTTTTTATTTTATTTTGCTGAGGGCTCTGCACACTCAGCACCTCCGGGTTCATCCATCCGCCCGGGGTGCTGCAACAATCGCTCTGTTCAGCAGCTCATGGCCAGTGCCATGCACCCAGATGTCCCCACAGGCACAGCACAGCAGGGCCAGCTTCTGCCAGGGGCTGGCATGGGAACAGACAGAGCTGTCGTGGTCGGGAACAAGACAGGCTGGAAAGGCGCCGGTGTTTTGCTGCTGGGGAGGGAGGACTCCGGCAGGACCAGGCTGTGCCACACAGCCTCATCCCTGCTCAGCGCAGTCACACGAAGCTGGAGATGCTGTCTTCACTGCGGGACAGACTGGGGACACCAAATTGTTCTCCTTGAGGGGGGGCACAGGGGGACAGGAGCTGAGGGATTGGAGCAGCTCCTTTCGGTGCAGGGCTGATGGGTGCACAGCCGCCTTGGGATGGTGGCATGGACGTTTCCATCTGCAGATGTTCCCCTCCCAGCTCCCTCCTCACAATCCCTTCATGGCTGGTGCTGCACCCACAGCACTGTGCCCAGGCAGCACTGCACCCTGTAGCCCCATGTTGAAGACCCACAGACCTCTTCTACAGCTTCTACTGCATCCCACAGCCCTCTGTCCTGGCTGCTTCTGAACCCCATAGCCCCCCGCCCCAGATAGCCCCGCACGCACAGCCCTCTGTTCTTGTTGGTGCTGCTCCCCAGAATCCCACTGCACCCCCCAGCCCCTTCCTGGCTTAGAAGTGCCCCCAAAACTCCCCTGCCCCAGCTGGCACTGCACCCCATAACCCCACATGCAGGTGCTGTTGCCCTCCGTAGCCTTGCAACCATCCGGTGCTGCACCCGCAGCCCCTTGCAACCCCCAGCCCCGTAGGACTGCAGCTCCACATCTTGTCCTCTCCCTGCTGTGCCTTTGCCCTCGCTGTGCCCTGGGCTTTTTGCACGGGGCCCCAGGACAGCACCCACCCGCAGGCACCCCGAAAGCACCGTGCAGGTGGGTGCAGCGGGGCAGCATCGGGCCTGGCTGGGCTTCGCCTGGGCGTGAAGGGTGCACAGCAGGAGGGGCCAGGCGAGGCGGGGATGGAATGCAAGTGGGAGAGCGGCCGGGCGTGTAGCAACAGATCCTGGGGAGCGCGGAGCCGGGGATCCCACACGCTGCATGGGGCAGGACGCCGAGCTCAGCCGCAGGGACGGCGGAATGGGGCGTCCCGTCGCTGCCGCCCCGCTGTGAGAGCCTGGGGGGGGTCATTGGGGGGCACTGAGCTGCGGGGGTCCCGACAGCGGCGGGGGGAGGGGTGGAAATCCCCAGCGGGGGATGCGCGGCTGCGGGAGCTGAGGAGCCGCCATGACCCCCGAGAAGGTGCTGCGGGAAGGGGTGCTGGAGAAGCGCAGCGGGGGGCTGCTGCAGCTCTGGAAGAAGAAGCGGTGCCTGCTGACCGAGAAGGGGCTGCAGCTCTTCGAGCCCAAGGGCTCGCGTCGAAAGGAGCTGAGCTTCGCCCGCATGAAGGCGGTGGAGTGCGTGGAGTGGAAGGAGAGGCACATCTACTTCACGGTGGTGATGGACGACAGCCACGAGATCGACTTCCGCTGCGCCCAGGAGGACCCGGGCTGGAACGCTGCCATCACCATGGGCCTCGTCCGCTTCAAGAACCAGCAGGCCATCCAGGTGGTGCGGGCACGGCACAGCTGCAGAGCAGGTAACGGCCCTGCTGTGCTCGGGGCGTGGGGAACCGGCGGTGGGATCCTGCCCCGAGGTGCTCCGGTGGCCCCAGGATGGGGGAGGTCCTTTCCTGGGTCTGCGTTGCGCGCCCCCCTGCCCTGGCTGGGCTCTGCTGACACCCGGTGCAGCCCCCCTGCCACTCAGGTTTCAACCCATTGCCCCCCAAGAGAGGGACGCACTGACGTCGTCCCTCTCACAGAAAGACACGGGGTGGGCTCTGCCTTCTGGCACGTGGGGTGGGGGTGACACCACGCTCCCCAGGGCAGCCCCTGCTCCTGCCCAGCACGGGCCGGGCGGGTGAGCAGTGCTTCTCTCCGCAGTGGTGCAGTACGACGCAGCTGCAGTGGGACAGCGCGTGGCTGTGCAGCATCCCCGGAGCAGGATGGAGACGGCGCTCAGCTCAGTGGGAGGAGGAGAGAATAGGATCCCAGCCAGCAACTGAGGCCTTGGGGCTCCCCAGGAAGGCCAGTGCAGGCACCGGCCCCAGTGCCATGGGGCGGGACAGTGAGGCACCAGGGCATGGCTGCGCCCACTTGGACCGATGGGGCAAAGGGCACAGCCAGGGCCACCACCAGGAGCTCCCCGAAGGTGATGGATGTGGCCAGGCCCATGGCGGACTGGCGGAGACCCCCGGCCTCTCCTGCAGGACAGGGGATGGGATGAGTGAGGCCGACCTGAAGGAAGCAGCGTGGTGTTGAGCCATGGGACATCGGAGGTGGATGGGGACACAAAGCCCCCGAGACCCCACATGGTGCAAGGACTGCAGAGGGGACCCCTCGGTCACCATGGTGCGGTGACACGGCTGCGCCGCTGGATGCTGCCCTGGGGATGGCAGTGTGACATTGTGGCCCCCAACTCCTTGTACCGACTGTACCCCCAACATGTCCTTCTGCTGCTTTGTTCTTTTTGCTTTGTTTTGCGGGATCACACAGTATATGGGAGAACACTAATCCTGCACAGAGCTTCACAGATTGTTCATAGACACCCCCTTAAATCTGCCAGCATCCCACAGCCAGGCTCCTGTGCCCCCCACCCTGCCGTCCCCTGCTGCTCCCGTGGTGGCTGGGGTTGGGTTGGGGTCAGGGTTAGGGTCAGGTCTTGCTGCCAGGCGGTGCAGGCAGGACAGCAGCAGGGGAAGGGATCCCTCACCATGGGGCTGTGCCCAGACAGGCTGTGCTGATGTGAGTGCCGGGAGCTGCTGAGCTCCACAAGCTGCAGCCTGAGCCCCACAGCCCGGGGCTGTGCAGATCTGCTGGGAGCACACCCGGCTGCGTGGGAACAGCGCAGCACAGTGGCCCTCTGGCCCGGCCCTGTGCCAAACCAGCTCTGGGTGTTTCTGGGGAGGGACGGTGGCACGGTCAGTGCCTGCTTGTCATGTTGCACCATGCCCCTTCCAAGCAGATCTTGGATGGATTTCCACCCATCCGCCTCCCTCTGATATTGAGAATTGGGTTTTTTTTAATAGGGTGTGCAGGGGTGAGCTGGGGGCACGCTGTGTGCAAACAGACCCACACGCATGGAGCACAGGGCAGCAGCAGCACCTGTGTGATTCCTGCAGGAAGGTTCTCTGTGGGGGGCTGGATTTGCAGGGGAAAACTTGTAAGGAGCCCCATGAGCTCTGCAGCAGTCTAAATGCTGCCCACATGTGTTAGCTGGCTGTTAGGGATGCAAGGAGTTCAAGGGGTGCTTCCAGCCCTTGCTTCCAAAAGCAGAGCAAGGACACACAGGAAACTTCTCCAATGCTGTAGGAGGTGGGGAAACTGAGGCACAGCAGAGGGGTGGAAACCACACAGCCCCTGCAGCACTGGGACCCCGGGGGCACTGAGCACAGCTGCAGGTGGGCGCTGAGCCCTGGGATGGAGCAGGGTGCCTGGGGCTGCCTGAGTTCAAAGCCTGAAAATCCAGCTGTGCAGCTCTGTCCTGGGTTGGCACCCATGGTGCTGCGCTCAGCCCCTCCTTCGTCCTGCCCTCAGACCCTTCACAGCCCTCCTTTGGATGCTCTCTGATAGCTTTATGTCCTCTGTGTCCCTTCCATCCCCAGTGCCAAGCTCCAATTCCACGCCTGGAGGTGATGTCCCCAGGTCTCTGAGCCGTCCCACCCCCTCCCACTCAGCCCACAGGGTCTCCCCCACCCCCAGCCCTGCGGTGCCCTCAATGTTTGGGGTTGGCTCTGAGTGTTGGGATGGGGATGGCTGTGTTTGGGGTGTGAGGTCCCAGGGGACAGCAGAGGCTCAGCTGTTGTTTCTAACTCTGTCCTGGCTGCCCTGGGAAGCCCGCTGGCTCTGTAATCACCTCTGGGGTCAATGGAAAGGGAGACGACTCCTGGTAGAAGAATGGATG